AGGGTCGAGGATTCCGGTCGTCTCGCTCAGGGGTATAAATCAAAGATTCTGGTCTCACTTAAGGTGTTCATGAGAAATGCCACTATTTTCAGCTGTCAAAATAATTATCTTTTAGGGCGCACTTGAAAAATAATAATAAAACTGAAACGCTCTTATTTCCGCTTTTAGGCTCGATCTCCGACGGTCTCTTGAGTCCGATCTACTAGCAGGGCTCCTTTCCTGAACAGCGACTGGTGATAGGGCCTATTCCTTTTTAGGTCAAAAAAAGCTCGAGTCAAACCCATATTGGTCAGCTTTTGCGGGTTTAATTCAAACATCCTGACCTTTTCATATGGGAGTTTTCCCCCACCGCCTTTCAGTTTACGAATCGAGATCCTTTATATCGTGCAATCTGAACAATCTCTTTCCTCGAATCTTTGTCCTTCCTGCCCAAACCTGTCGAACGCTGGTCAAGGGGATCAAAGACTCTGGGTAAGAAAAGACGTACCTTATGGCTGTTTCAATCCATTTATTAAGCACTGACATAAAAATGTCAAGAAGACTTCCTTTTTTGGCGATTCATTCATGATAGGGACCAGTTATGAAAGTAAGTGAAAGGGGTACCTTTTTTCAATTAATGGTATGCGAAAGAGGTACCTTTTCTGTCAAAATTGGATACAAAAGAGTAAGTGGTTGGACCTCGGGGTGTAGCTTCGATCCCCGTGTAGAATATTGTAGAGTACCCTCCGAGCAGGATAGGGAGAGGGAAGAAAAAATCTTCCCCGCTCCCTCCGCGCCATCGTTCTCTCGTTCCAACTCTCCTCGTTTTGTGACACTCCGATACGCGAACAACACTCACCCCTCCCCCCCCAAAAAAACAACGCAGGCTACATATTTTTGAAGAGTATAAATACAGAGACCGATAAAATCTAAGATTATTATTTTTTTATAAGACGTAGTTAAGTACAACGGGAATTTTACTTTGCTGATCACGGTACCGAAAATACGTAAAACTTAAATGATTGACATTGTAAATTAATGATAAGGTAAATTAAAACAATGAAATAACATAATAACAGGAAATTAACCAATATGTTTCTTCGCGGATGTTAAGACCATGCATCACGATCAATTGTTCTGCCTTTAAGATGATAAAAGCTTTCCTTGCCTTACGGATTGAGCTCGGTGTGAAAATATTTTTTCGATGATTTGATGCTTGGATGGCTTGAAAAGAGTGTTTTGAATGATTTGAACAGTCCGACGCCCG